TATTTTCTTTCAATGCGAATTTGTACAAGAATTTTGGCTTACATTTCAGAGTTGGCTACAATCTAAGGAGATATCGCTTCTCCCTTTGAATGTGAGCTCAATTAAAGTTGGAGTGTTTTTGAATGATAAAAACTTGATAAACAATCTGATTGTTTTAGGTAAACACTTCATCCACAGATGTAAATATTTAAAGACCAAACTAAGGATGAGCGAGTACAGCATTATCTGTATCTGTTAACCATATGAACGATCTGTATCTGTACTCGGACTGGGCGGGGCCTAACCCGGAAGTGGGTGGGATTTAACCCGGAAGTGGGTCGGGTTGTCTTGAAATGGGCGGGCATTAACCAGTATGTTATTTTAAGCATGCAATTGATATGGGTTGATCAGAAATTGTTATATTTATTGCTGATTAGAAAACTATATTTACATGACTGCATCAGCATTGAGCTTCAGATCAATGTTTTTTTTTTTATCACTATAACAAACGAACTATATACAGCACAAGTTTTGCAACAATGAATACAACACATGCGGTTGCAATTATGAAGTAAAATGTAATGAACAAGAGTTTTCATACTCAACATTATTATTATTATTTTTTTTTTTACTTTTTTTTTTTTAACAGTTAAAAAACTGGTTGGAGCCAGCAGACGGTTAAAAAAAAGTTAATTTGTAATATAGTTTTATACCACTACTTCCTTTATTTTTTTATGAAATACAGCAAGAAAGTGTCAGACACACTCAGTAAAAAAAACTGGTTAGAGCCAGCTGACGGTTTAAAAAAGAAAAAAAATCTCCGACAGGCAGAGACGCAACGCGAGTCGCATTCTATCAAGCACCACGTCTGAACAAACCCCACGTTTACCAGAACTCTACTGGTTAATAAGTAAGTACTACAAACCGAAGTAAAAAACAAACTTGAAGCTGAAGAAACCCTAAACGTTAACGGAAAAGACCCGCGAACCTGAGTGACTGAGGGAGAGACAGAGAGAGAGAGCTGTTCTCTTCTCAGTGTTCTGTGTGTGAGTGAGCACTGAGCAGAAGAGCGGGACACAGCAACACGATAAATCTGTATGTGTGTAGGGGTAGCCTTTCACAGAACGCAGACACAGTCAGCTACCCAATGAGGATTTTTATTCAATCCGAGCACAGATATTGACTCGTATTACTCGTATAATACTCGTACACGGCAAAAGTGCTTTATCCGGACCGGATACTCGTTTCAGCCGAGTATCCGGCTCAACTCTAGACCAAACCCCATTTCAATGGATGGAAGAATGACTTGAAGCTATTTGTAAAATCTCTTCATTGGATGACGGACAGAAATGCCCTGAAACTTCTTTCCGTTTTGGAATTGTTATTGGACTAAGACCCTCACCCCTTTTCTTTTTCTTTCTTTCTTTTTTTCTTTTCTTCTTCTTCTATGTTCTTTTTTTCTAAGTGATTCAACACAAATACAACTGTATGATCGTTGATTTATGCCTTAATTGTTTGTACTTGAATTCTCTATATTAATATATATATATATATATTTTTTTACTTGGGCCACAAAAGATGACGTTTCACAAAAACACAAGTACAGACAAGAACACAGATTGAGAAAGGCTTCATGAGAACACGGAAGTGAAAGGAAGTTCAGTGCTTTTGATGATTGAGGTGCATTTGATGTAGCGAGGTGCCATTTGATGATCGAGGTGCCATTTGATGATCGAGGTGCATTTGATGATTGAGGTGCCATTTCAGAGGAGAAAGAAACATCTGCAAATATTGTCATTATTCAAGGTAAGTTAGGAAAATATCTTAAGCTACTGACCAATGTTTAAGTGTCATGTTTCCAGTGATCACAGAAGATTCATACAGCACAACTAATAGATCTTTATTGGATTTTACTAGTCTGAAACGAGGCTCTGAGTGTTAGTGTAAGTGAGTGTGTGTGTGTGTGTCTGTGTGTGTGTGTGTGTGTGTGGAAGTGTGTGTGAGTATATCTGGTGTCTGCTGACTAATTTTTCCATTAATCATAATTTATATAAATTATTATTATTATTAAGAATAACTATTGTAACTTTTAGTATGTTCAGTGTCACGTTATTATTTTTATTCCAGTCTGGTTTGACATGTAAAAGACAAGTCTTCCAAGGAGAGAATGGCAAAATGTGAAAGTACTTCTGAAATCTAATCATGCTGAGACTCAATAATCACCAACATTCAGCTGAATATTTTAGAAACAATAATCTACTAATGAGCTAATAACTCTTAAACTGAATAACAACCTGAAGAATTAGTTTTAGACCTTAAAGGGTCATGAAACCCTGAACCCAATTTTCTGAGATTTTAACAGAGGTATGTGTGTTGAACACCATTGAAGACAATGTTAGTATCTGTTAGATTTAATAGTAGGGGGAAAATAGTTAAATTTTAGTTTTTTCCCGCTATTTTTGTCTTCCGGGTTTAAAATCTTCATCGTGTCCAGGCTGTGACGTGGCAGTGCGCTGTGAGTGCTTTGATGACTCATCGGTGTCTCATAATTATTCATGAGACTGAGTTTTCTTATCCTATAAGAAGACACTGTCTCTTAATTATTCATGACACCACACGGATCTTTCCAATGACAGACATGTCAAACTGTGATATCGCGCAGTAGATGAGCAAAAGTTCCAGTGCGTTGCATATCTTTCCCCGCGATGCTGCCAGAGCTAGACTCTGGCTGCGGGCGGTTGGTTGGCCATCAACCACGGACACATCTAAACTACGTGTGTGTAGCAAGCTTTTTTAGTAGCGAGAGAGAGCTTCGAGAACTGGAGAATGGTGGACTTCAGCCTTGTTCACCAATCCAAGTTGCCTCTTGCGAGTGATGCGGTACCAAGTCCCAAGGACTTTTCTATCCCTTCAGAGGTGTGTGTGTGTCTAAAATGTAACCCTGACAGTTTTACTTGCCTTAGTTTTGTTAAACCTCTGGGGTCGACAAACGCGCCGGCGCGTTTTGCTGGATTTTTTTCAAATGGCAGCAAAATAGACTTAAAACACTCCGTTATTTATGGTGAAACAGACTTAAGAAATATGAAAAAATAAACTGTTAAATGTCTACTTTTTTATGTGTCCACTTACAATCGGAAAAAAAACAGTGTGCTTTTATAAAATAAAGAAAATAAACAGGGTGTGCTTTCTGCCTCTCCGTGTCCGTGAACTTTTTTTCTGGAGCACGTCTCTAAACTTAAACAAAACATAGCGAATACTATTCACCCAGACAAGAGCAGTATATCTTTATAATCATTTAAAATGAATTATTTTCAAATATATGCATTTATAGTGTATATAAACAAATATATATTTTATAATGACATTATAATTGTACATGTAATTTAATATGTTTTAAATAGAATTACGATTACTGTAAGCTAATATAGGCCTATGTAGCAGGGCATTCAGTTACTTTTGAAAGGACAAAAATAAGATGTCAGTGTATTTCATTAGACTTTAACTTTGCCAGCTATAAAAAATCTAGCATTTCCTCACGTTTTACCACAGATTTTTAGTGACAGTTGATATGCATGGGCCACTGGCCGATGACAGTTACCCCCTCCCCCTCCCCCTCCCCTGCAGTGCCATTCCACACCCACTCCCCTCCCTTCTTCTCTCAGCCATCTACGCCCATTTCAGTTGCATTTTTCAAAAAGATTGTGAGCAAGACTTGAGCTGAAGGAAGGGGGTTTCATGACCCTTTAAAAGTAAAAAAAAAAAAAAAAGCTTCATATTGTTGACCTGGCCACAGTGTCATTTCATTGCGCACATATATTTGCACATACTGCATAGATATCTGCTATAAAAGTGCAATTATCTAAATACTTTTTCCTTTTCCTTTGCTCCAACAGTCCATGAAGGACCATGGCATCTGATTTAGTGCTTCATACTCTAGAAGACCTGGAAGAATGTAATCTGAAGAAATTTAAGTGGTTCTTAAAGCAAGATGGAGCCGTTAGAGCTGGTAAACTGGAGGATGCTGGTGTCACTGATATAGTGGATGTAATGAAGGAGTGTTTTGGACTGGAAGAAGCTGTGAAGAAAACACTGAACATCCTGAGGAAGATGAACCAGAACCGACTGGCTGAAGAGTTACAGAACAACTACACTGACGGTAATAAATGAGAGAATAGAGAACGAGAGTCAGCATAGATTCATAGACATATTCAGATTATTTTCAAAAAAGAGTCTTGTTCACCAAGGCTGCATTTAATTATCAAAAATAGTTAAAATATTGTGAAATAACAGAATTTAAATGAATTTTTCTATTTGAATATATATATATATAAAAAATGAAGGAATAGAAAATGAGAAGCAGCATAGATTCATATAAATGTATATTCAAGTTTAAAAAAAACATTTATATGTTTAGAAATAGTTAAAATATTGCAAAATATTGCAATTTAAGACAATTGTTTTCTATTTAAATATCTTTTTTTTAATCCTATGTTGCCATAAAAGTACGTTTCACAACTGAATTTTCAGCATCATTACTCCAGTCTTCGGTGTCTTCAGAAATCATTCTAATATGCTGATTATTTAATAGTTTAATACTTGTGCTGCTTAATGAAGTGTGGAAACATGATGCAGAGGATTTAATACTTGTGCTGCTTAATGAAGTGTGGAAACATGATGCAGAGCATTTTTCAGGATACTTTGATGAACATAAAGTCTCATTTCATTCTCTTTCTTCACAGTGCAAGAATCACCAGAAGCAGCCGAGAAACGCCCAAGAAAACAAGGTGAATTAACCTTACACACGGCCTTACAGTGGGGTCAGACATTATTTCAGCTTGTTTTATTTATATTGATCTTAATACACAACATAACTGCTTTCAGTGAAATGAATTTAAATACCATATGTCTGCTCTAGTTGATTTTGATGAAAATCATGCTAAGGTAAAAAAACCTTTGTGTTTAAGTTTTTTTATGTTGTTTTGTTAACACCTTTTCCTGTTTATTTATATATTTCATAACAGATTTCTGGCTGCAGGAATTCTTGAAAACTCACAAAATGAACATGAAGGAGAAAGTAGAACACATCTTTGAGTGTAAAAAGGAAAATGAAGCACATCTCAAGGATGTTTTCACAGAACTCTTCATTACGGAGGGGGATCTTAAAGAAATCTACCAAGAACATGAGATTCTGCAGATTGATAAAGCCATTAAACCCAACAAATCACAGAACAGGCCAATCAAATGCAATGATGTATTTAGTCTGAACAAAAATAAGAAAAAGATTGTGCTGACCAAAGGCATTGCTGGCATTGGAAAAACTGTCTCAGTGCACAAGTTCATTCTGGACTGGGCAGAAGGAGAAGCCAATCAGGAGATAGACTGTGTTTTCCTGCTTCCATTCCGAAAAATTAACTGCATTAAAGACAGGGAGTTCAGTCTGCATGAGTTTCTACAGAGATTTAATCCTGAACTGAATGACCTGGAAAAACCAAAGATATGTAAGATATATAATAGTAAGCTTGCGTTTATCTTTGATGGACTGGATGAGAGTCGACTCCCTTTGGAGTTTGACAGTGGAATGGTGACGAGTGTTGAGGAGCGATCATCTGTAGATGAACTGTTTACAAATCTGGTGAACGGGACTCTGCTTCCATCAGCTCACGTCTGGGTGACATCACGACCAGCAGCAGCCAATCAGATCCCTCTTGAGTGTGTAGGGTTGTTCACCGAGGTGCGAGGATTCACTGACCAGCAGAAGGAGGAGTATTTCAGAAAGAGAATCCAAGATACGACTCAGGCCTCCAGAATGATCTCACACATTAAGAAATCTCGTAGTCTCTACATCATGTGCTACATTCCCGTGTTCTGTTGGATCACAGCCACTGTTCTTCAGGACGTCCCCATTGGGAACAATGCAGGGAACATCAACACGACACTCACTGAAATGTACATCCACTTCCTGCTGATACAGATGAACATGAAGAGCCAGAAGCATGACAGTAAAACAGAAAGACAACGTACCAAGCTCTTAGATTCCAATAAAACAATGATTTTAAAGTTAGCCAAGCTAGCGTTTGAACAACTGAAGAAGGAAAACATAGTGTTCTATGAGGATGATCTGAAAGCTTGTGGTATTGATGAGAGTGAAGACTTTGAGTCCACAGGAATGCTGACTGAGATCTTTCAGCAAGAAGCTGGACTTCATGAGATGAAGGTCTTCTGCTTCGTACATCTGAGTGTTCAAGAGTTCCTCGCTGCAGTGCACGTGTTCCTCTGCTACCTGAACAAGAACATGGACGAGCTGCAGTTTTTCCTTAGAAAAACACAATTCAAGGTCAGGCCTGACAACATCGACAAGCCAGACAAAAATATTGCTTTACATAATTTACTAAAGAAGGCTGTTGAGAAAGCAATGCAAAGTCAGAAAGGACATTTAGACCTTTTTGTACGGTTTCTGCTGGGCATTTCACTGGAATCGAATCAGAAACTGCTCAGCAGCCTGTTCACACACACTGAAGACAGTAAATACAGCGTCACAGAAACAACCAAACGCATTAAAGAACAATTACAAAGCTATAAGAACAATACCATCTCACCTGAAACTTCAGTCAACCTGTTCTACTGCCTACTGGAGCTCAATGACAATTCATTATATACAGAAATACAAAGATACTTCAGATCATCTCCAGAAAGAGAGCTCTCGTCTTCCATGTGCTCATTGATGGCTTACGTACTTCTGATGTCAGAGGAGGTGCTGGAGGAGCTCAACCTGAGGATGTACAGGACATCAGGGGGGGGCCGCATGAATCTCCTGCCAGCTGTGAGATGCTGCAGAAAAGCAACGTAAGAAACTTGTTGACAGCTGTTTAATCAAAGTTTTTAACTCTGTAAATCAATTTTAGCATAATATGCAGTGTAAAGTATCATTGTTTTACTCATTTTAGAGAGTAAAATCTGTATTTACTAAAATGTATTTACTAAACAGTGATTTTATAGACATCAATTTGAACGTTATTTTCACTTGACTGTCACATCAGTTCCAGCATACATGACATTTATATTTATTTACATTTATTTTTTTCCAGAAAGCTTGAATGTTCACAGAGAACATGATATAACATATCACTGTTACTACAAACACTGTTCCTACAAGATGAACACACAATACATGCCATGGACAAATGTCCTGTTTTTACAGACTCTCCCTCGGTGGACTCACTGAAACCTGCTGTGAAACTGTGGCTTTGGCCCTGCAGACACCAAACTCACCCCTGATAGAGCTGAACATGAGTGAAAATAACCTGAAGGATTCAGGAGTGAAGCTGCTCTCTGATGGACTGAAGAGCCCAAACTGTCACCTGAAGATACTGAGGTTTGAGATTCATTCAATCCGTATACAGCACCCACCTCAGTATTTCATCCACTAAAATAGAGTATGACATTATAAAACGCTTAACATGGAAATGCTTAACTTGCCTTAATGCACAAAGACAGTGTTTTTAATATATCAAACTCAGTATACATCGTATCCATGATGCGTAATATTTACAGGCAAGCAGATGAACCCAGAATTTTAACAATGCATTTTAAACCCATTAAAATCTTGCTGTACGTTTATAAGATAAACAAATTAAAGAGCCATCTCTCTGTTATTAAATAATCTGACAAATACAACAAATTTTCCAAATTAAATAGCGTGTGTTCATTCAAACATGAATGAACATCTGAAGGTGTGTTGACAGATACAGTACAACTTACTGAAACATTATATCTCGTGTAATCGCTCAATCAGAGTTTCAACGCCGGAAATGCATCAGTAAAACAGTTTTAAAACAATTTCCCACGTAGCATTACATTTACCTCAGGCAGGTCATTCAGTGTATGATAGCTTGTTAATTCGCAGGGAAATGTACTATTTCGCTTAATATCTGCACTATATTAGCCTACATATTCATTATATTTTATTTAACCTGTTAGTGATGTCTTGATTATTTAATGTATGATTAAAATATCTGTCATGAAAATGTCAGCAAGTGTGTAATAATTATATTTCAACAACGAATTGGAGTAAAAACATAATTTTATATTTAAATTTAGAAGTTAATGCAAATGTGCAGTTTACATGTTTGCATACAATTTGTTATTTGAGTGTATTATATCTCAAATTTAATAGCTACTGAATTAGGCTAAGATGTTTGGGCTCTATTGTTAACCATTAACCCTCTGGGGACCAAGGTGTTTTTGGGGTCCTTGAGATGTTATGACATGCCCTGACATTTGTGCTTTTTTCAGTTGCTTATAAACATAGTAATGGCACAGGTGAAATTACACTCTATTTAGCACAAACAGGGCTACCATAATATGTGAGCAACATGTATGTACATGTTTGTATTTTTGAGAGAATATTGTTTATGCATGGTTATTGAAAAAACTAAAAATTAAAGTTTCTGAAATAAAGCCACAAAACACATACTAAATATGTGTCCACAAGACATTTGACTAATGGAAGTTGTGGCCTAGAGTTTTTGCTTCAAAATGATCTGAAAATCATCCTATCTAATCATTCACATAACACAATAGATTCTTTTAAATTGTGAAAAACATTTTTTGTTATCCAAGGCAATATGCGAATGGGCGTGAACGGCCCAACCCCATTGTGAATAATTAGGTGGTTGAGAAGACAAAGACCCTGCATAGTAATGAGCCTTTCATTCAGATGTGTCACACAAGAAAGAATGCAAGGACAATATATATACACACACACACACATACATACATATATATATATACATATATAATCAAAATATAAATGAAAGTCAAAAGCACATTTTTAGTCATACCTGGAAACAAATCCTGTTCAAATAGGTTATATGGGCCATTCTATAGAATTGGTTCAAAGTTAGAGTTGGAAACATCTTGAAAAGAAAATTGTCTTTTTCCATAAATGTCTTAGTAGGCCAATACATTTTATCATGCATATTTCAAAGTTAAGGATTCATTATTTTGATATAGCTTGCATTGGAAAAAACACTATAACATCTTAGTTGATTAGTTTATTGACAAATCATACTATATATTTAACATATGAGCAGAAACTGCTAACAAAAGCTTATTTGATGTCTATTTTAGAGTTAAAACTTTATAATCTATCCAAAACTAGTCACACACACACACACACACACACACACACACACACACACACACACACACACACACACACACACACACACACACACACACACACACACGCACACACAGAGAAACATGATTCAAATTTAAACAGTAGGCTATTTTAGCGTTTACAGACACTAACGTTATTATATATTGTGATTAGAACAAAGCACAAGAATAAAACACTTACAGCTCAGCGTGCTCCTCGAAGTGAAAATAAACCAGCACTTGTTCTGAGGTAGCTAAATGTCCCATGATTATTCCTCATAGCCGCGCAAGACGACAGTACATTAATCTGACTAAATATAGTGTGTTTACAGAGTTTATGTGGGCGTTTACACGTCTCAATGTGTTGCTTCAGATCATTAGCGTTTGAATAGCGCGCGCTCTCCGTGGGCGTGTCACATTAGCGAAATAATGAGATGCGAGAACGATAATGAGAACGGCTGACATCTCTCTCTTTTTATATAGATTACATAAACAGAATATTTATTTTAGTTTTAAATTAGATAATTTAAAAGTACAAACTTGAAATGATCATAAACATATATTGCTCATGTCTGGGTGAATAGTATTCGCTGAGTTTTGTTTAAGTTTAGAGACGTGCTCCAGAAAAAAAGTTCACGGACACGGAGAGGCAGAACGCACACCCTGTTTATTTTCTTTATTTTACAAAAGCACAATATTTTATTTCGATTGTAGGTGGGCACATAAAAAAGTAGTCATTTAACAGTTTATTTTTTAATATTTCTTAACTAGAAATGATGGAGTAGTTTAAGTCTATTTTTCTGCTATGTGAAAAAAATCTGCCAAAATGCACGGGTGCGTTTTTGGTCCCCAGAGGGTTAATATAGTGATGTGCAAGGGCTCCGATATAATTTACAGCATTAGCAGAGATCATTTTTTTGTCCTTAATGGCGTTTCTGGTTTCCTGATTTATGTTTTCTTTTCCCCAACATTTTTCAGTCAGTTAGTCCCTGTTCTTCCACCAAGCTCATCGTTAACTTCAGGCAGCGGCCGCCTCAACTCCGATTGATTCTGTTCACGAGCTGGGATGGGACTTACAACAATTTTATTGGGTCCATCTGATGTTTGTCACTGACTGAATAATTAATAAATACTTTAGATTGGACTAAACCATTTTTAGAGAGGTAAGAGAAGCAGATATTTGGAAAAAATATTTAACCAAATTGCATGATTTTGTGGTTTTCATTTAAATCTCAGGCATACAACTAGGGCTGGGCGATATGGGCAAAAAAAATTATCACGATATTTTTTTTATATCAGTCGATATCGATAATTATCACGATAATTTTTTTTATATCAGTCGATATCGATAATTATCAAGATTTTTTTTTTTATATCATTCGATATTGATAATTATCACGATAATTTTTTTATATCAGTCGATATCGATAATTATCACGATAAATGTCAAATCTTTATTTCTTTCAAGTTTAAAGGCAGATTTTTGCCCCTAAGTGAAAGTTGTAGAGAGTGTTAATTGTGGTTTTAAACTACTCTTTATTGTCAGAACATATCATGACAAACACTTGCCAAACAGGTAAACATTTCACAAATCTGAGGTACAACATCATTTGTCATTTTTCCTTAACAAAATAAATATCTGAATAGAAAGATATAATTCTTAGTTTCTGCATGTGCTAATGGGGGATATTGTTAAGTCTTGAAACAGTACTAATACTACTATGTTAAATTTATGTTCATTAACAAAAACAGTAACATCTGTTAAAAAAATGTAACAACCACATTTTTATTTGGTAAAATGTAATATTCTGAGTTTTATTCAAATTAACCATTGATTATCCAGTATCATGCATTTAGATCATGATAACCACAGATAAAGCCAGGCACTGCCTGTATAGCACCTCACTATCATGGCAAAATGTAACTTTATGGTTTCTATGGTAATTTGTATGAAAAAAAGTAGCCTAAATACATTATTAAATACTGTAATTATATTCCATTAGTCATTTAAAACATTGTCTACATTAATAATATAATACAATTCAGTATGTATATCCCACATTTCATGGTGCAGTTAATATTACTAGGCTAACCTTACAGTAAATCCATGGTAAATGGATTCAGTATCAATTTATATTCTGACTGTATCACAGTGTTTCTCCTGTTCGCCAGCGCTGTTTCATCTGCCTTTAAACTGGTTTAAATCACTGAGACGTTTGTGTTCTTTGCTGAATTCAAGCCTTCTCACTGGATCTCGTGAGCGAGACGATTAGAGTTCAATGCATCTGCTCTAGTGAGCTCGCGCTGCCGTTTGGACTTTGAGCCGAGCGGATGAACACTCCGTGAGGCGCGCGCGGTTCAAATGAGTTTCGTTCCGCTTTTGCCGCATAAACATTATCGAACATTTATCGAACTCTTGATATCGTTTTATCGAGAAATTATCGATAATTATCGTTATCGTTTTATCGCCCAGCCCTACATACAACTAATATAACTATTAGAATTATTCATACAACAGGGGCCTATATAGTATAACTGCTGGATTTTGTAATATATAATTGTCATTAATTATCTATAATTGTCACCACCTTTCACCCCACTAGCGACGGCCCTGGTTGCACCCCTTATACAGTATCTGTTTGAACTATTTTTCTATCCTCCTGTCAAAGGGCTCCCGCTCACTGATAAAAAAAAATTAAACATTAAAAAAGTTAAAGTCCCTGTAAAGTCAAAATTAAGTATGTGTTCTGAGTTTGTCACACCACAGAACAATTTGTTATTAGCCACCCAGCCAAAATTGAATGATAAAAAAAGTCGGCAAGTACATAAAATAAGCTATCAAAATCTTGAAAAAATGAGCAGTATTCTCTGCTCTCAAACGCTGGGGGCGTGTCCGCTGGCTGCGCTGAAACCACGCCCACTCGCGGGACAGCTGCCGATTGTGATATTAGCTGATACTGCTTTCGGGACGGGGAGATGAAGGCCGAGGCGGGAGATAGTCAGTTCGGGCCCATTCACAAGTAACAGCAGATTATCAGTGAATCCCAGTTGTCTCTGACTAAAGTTTATAAAACTATCCGTGTAAAATGATCGCTACAGAGGCGGGTGTTGGCGGTGATCCTCAGCTCTCCATCAAGGTTGGCTCTTCACAAAATTAATCCACCTCTTCTTGATGTGATCGTTTTTAGGAAATTTAAAATAAAGACACCGATC